TACCACTCCTCCTAGTTTAGTATCATCCGCAAATTTGCTGAGAGTGCAATCCACACCATCCTCCAGATCATTTATGGAGATATTGAACAAAACCAGCCCCAGAACCGACCCTTGGGGCACTCCACTTGATACTGACTGCCATCCAGACATGGAGCCATTGATCACTACTCATTGAGCCCGACAATCTAGCCAACTTTCTACCCATCTTATAGTGCATTCATCCAGCCCATACTTCTTTAACTTGCTGACAAGAATACTGTGGGAGACCGTGTCAAAAGCTTTGCTAAAGTCAAGAAACAATACATCCACTGCTTTCCCTTCATCCACAGAACCAGTAATCTCATCATAGAAGGCGATTAGATTAGTCAGGCATGACCTTCCCTTGGTGAATCCATGCTGACTGTTCCTGATCACTTTCCTCTCGTGTAAGTGCTTCAGGATTGATTCCTTGAGGACCTGCTCCATGATTTTTCCAGGGACTGAGGTGAGGCTGACTGGCCTGTAGTTCCCAGGATCCTCCTTCTTCCCTTTTTTAAAGGTGGGCACTACATTAGCCTTTTTCCAGTCGTCCGGGACTTCCCCCGATCGCTATGAGTTTTCAAAGATAATGGCCAATGGCTCTGCCATCACAGCCGCCAACTCCTTTAGCACTCTCGGATGCAGCGCATCTGGCCCCATGGACTTGTGCTCATCTAGCTTTTCTAAATAGTCCCTAACCACCTCTTTCTCCACAGAGGGCTGGCCACCTACTCCCCATGGTATGTTGCCCAGCGCAGCACTCTGGGAGCTGACCTTGTTCGTGAAGACAGAGGCAAAAAAAGCATTGAGTACATTAGCTTTTTCCACATCCTCTGTCACTAGGTTGCCTCCCTCATTCAGTAAGGGGCCCACACTTTCCTTGGCTTTCTTCTTGTTGCGAACATACCTGAAGAAACCCTTCTTGTTACTCTTAACATCTCTTGCTAGCTGCAACTCCAGGTGGGATTTGGCCTTCCTGATTTCACTCCTGCATGCCCGAGCAACATTTTTATACTCTTCCCTGGTCATTTGTCCAATCTTCCACATCTTGTAAGCTTCTTTTTTATGTTTAAGATCCGCAAGGATTTCACTGTTAAGCCAAGCTGGTCGCCTGCCATATTTACTATTCTTTCGACACATCGGAATGGTTTGTCCCTGTAACCTCAATAGGGATTCTCTGAAATACAGCCAGCTCTCCTGGACTCCTTTCCCCCTCATGTTATTCCCCCAGGGGATCCTACCCATCAGTTCCCTGAGGGAGTCAAAGTCTGCTTTCCTGAAGTCCAGCGTCCGTATTCTGCTGCTTACCTTTCTTCCCTGTGTCAGGATCCTGAACTTGACCAACTCATGGTCACTGCCTCCCACGTTCCCATCCACTTTTGCTTCCCCTACTAATTCTTCCCGGTTTGTGAGCAGCAGGTCAAGAAAAGCTCTCCCCCTAGTTGGCTCCTCCAGCACTTGCACCAGGAAATTGTCCCCTACATTTTCCAAAAACTTCCTGGATTGTCTGTGCACCGCTGTAGTGCTCTCCCAGCAGATATCAGGGTGATTGAAGTTGCCCATGAGAACCAGGGTGTGCGATCTAGTAGCTTCTGCGAGTTGCCGGAAGAAAGCCTCATCCACCTCATCCCCCTGGTCCGGTGGTCTATAGCAGACTCCCACCACTACATCACTCTTGTTGCTCACACTTCTAAACTTAATCCAGAGACACTCAGGTTTTTCTGCAGTTTCATACCGGAGCTCTGAGCAGTCATACTGCTCCCTTACATACAGTGGTACTCCCCCACCTTTTCTGCCCTGCCTGTCCTTCCTGAACAGTTTATAACCATCCATGACAGTACTCCAGTCATGTGAGTTATCCCACCAAGTCTCTGTTTTTCCAATCACGTCATAATTCCTTGCCTTCACCAGGACCTCCAGTTCTCCCTGTTTGTTTCCAAGGCTTTGTGCATTTGTATATAGGCACTTGAGATAACCTGCTGATTGCCCCTCATTCTCAGTATGAGGCAGGAGCCCTCCCCTCACAGACGTTCCTGCCTGTGCTTCCTCCCGGTATCCTGCTTGCCCACTTACCTCAGGGCTTTGGTCTCCTTCCCCCGGTGAACCTAGTTTAAAGCCCTCCTCACTAGGTTAGCCAGCCTGCTCGCAAAGATGCTCTTCCCTCTCTTCGTTAGGTGGAGCCCGTCTCTGCCCAGCACTCCTCGTTCATGTAACACCATCCCATGGGCAAAGAATCCAAAGCCTTCTCTCTGACACCACCTGCGTAGCCATTTGTTGACTTCCATGATTCGACGGTCCCTACCCCGGCCTTTTCCTTCCACGGGGAGGATGGACAAGAACACCACTTGGGCCTCAAACTCCTTTATCCTTCTTCCCAGAGCCACGTAGTCCGCAGTGATCCGCTCAAGGTCATTCTTGGCAGTATCATTGGTGCCCACGTGGAGAAGCAGGAAGGGGTAGCGATCCGAGGGCTTGATGAGTCTCGGCAGTCTCTCCGTCACATCGCGAATCTTAGCCCCTGGCAAGCAGTAGACTTCTCTGTTTTCCCGGTCAGGGCGGCAGATAGATGACTCAGTCCCCCTGAGGAGAGAGTCCCCGACCACCACCACCCGCCTCCTTCTCTTGGGAGTGGTGGTCGTGGAACCCCCAACCTTAGGACAGCGCATCTCATGCCTTCCAACCAGCGGAGTCTCCTTCTGCTTTCTCCCCTCAGACGTATCATCTGGTCCACTCTCCACAATGGTACCTGTGGAGAGAACATGAAAACGGTTACTTACCTGTGTCTGCGTTGCTGGTATCCGGACATTCCCCCTTCTTCTTCTGGAGGTCACATGTTGCCAAGCTTCTTCACTGGCCTCTTGGCTCCGCTGTGCAACGTGCTCTAAATCTTTAGAGCTTTGTGCCCGTAGAAGCATATCCTGACTTTTGTCCAGGAAATCCTCAGATTCTCGTATGCAACGCAGGGTCGATATCTGTTGCTCCAGACCTTCAATCTTCTCTTCCAATATGGATACTAGCTTGCACTTTGTACAGACAAAGTCACTTCTGTCCTGTGGAAGAAAGACAAACATGGCACATCCAGTGCAGGTCACAATAGCTGAACGCCCCCCCTCCATATCACCTTCCTACTATGAGCTTCCTCAGAGAAGCTGGCAAGATGTAAGCCTCACTGGGCTCACCCCAGGTGAACTCCCAGGCAAACTCCTGCTGTTTGCTGCTCTGCTGTTCCCCGCTGCTCAGCTGGTCCGCCGCCGCTCAACTGGTTCGCGGAGCTCTGGCTATTTTTAAACAGCCAGGCTTCCCTGAAACAAACAAACAGACACCCCCAATACCCACCCCCTGCAGGCTACCACCCAATCAGGCACTCGCTCAGGCTTTCAAACTGTGCTCCCAGCAAACACACACTCGGATACTCACTCAGCAAACACACACTCGGATTAAGAAGTCTGTTATTCCAGCTGAATTAAGAAGTCAATTAAGAAGTCTGTTATTCCAGCTGAAAAATAACCATGCAAACACCACAAATGATGCATTTTGGGTGTGTTTGGTTAGCATTTGACCCTTTATATGCAATGTAAATTCATACTAAAACATTACGTTTTCTACAGGGCTGAAACACAGTGTCCAGCATGACAATCGGTTGACGTTCTTTCATGTCTGTGTCGGTATGAAATTGCAGACATTATTTTGTCAACAACAGGAAGAAAATAAGTCCTTTAGAGAGCAGAAGGCGCTGTTGACAAGCCTGAATAGCTAAGAGTCTCATATAGAGTAAGACAGAAAATTATTGTCATGTTCAGACAACACATACGCCCATTCAGCAGGAAATGCGCTCATAAAATATCCCTAAAACAAGGCCTGAGGTTGCTTAAGACTTGCCACTCCAGGCTCATGACTACTTGTAAATGGATGCACCAGAACTTTGCAATTCATATGCATTATTTACTAACCACAGGCTAACTGTGTGAACCTAACTCAGCCTGGAGAGCATTTAGTCATACCAGGGACCCATTGAAGTCAATGGGCAAATGGGTGTGCTTAAGCACGCCCCGGCAGGAAAAAACTTATCCCTAAACTGACATGTTATTCCTGTAAAACCAATGGTATCTGCATTTAGCAAGTAGTGTCATGGCCTCTATCGTTAACATGATTACAGCTACAGCTGACCCAACTGTAGCATGTGTGATGAAGTATTTACATTGCTTTAGAGTAGCTAAACAGCTGTAATACCTACGTTTATATAATGAAAACATGCAGCAGGAGGTAAAGGATCACATCATTTTGGCTTATGTTTTTATAGAGACAAACTCTGATTCCCTGTACCCTCATCATTAGTCATCAAAGCCCTGCATGTTTGTCTAATATGGGCCATTTGGGTTGTATTGATCAGTCTTGTTTTCGCTTCCACTCTCCGTCATTTATCTATCAGCCAAACGCATTTTTTGACCCCATTCTGAAGCTTGAACTTATGGCTGACATGCTTTTCCTGGTTAAAACCCATGTCTCCAGTCAACGGTCATGAAAGCTGCTGTCTTGACAGCGCAGGCGAATGATGCCGTCTGTGCAACCACTCCTGCAGCAGTGGAAGTTACCCACCTTGTCTTCTCAGAGGGTCTCAACTGTGCCCCAGCGGGATCAGCTCTTGACTAGAGCTTCCAGTCTCCTTGTCCTTTCACTCTGCGAGTGCCAACAATGAAGGCAGTTAGTCCCAGTGGGGGATGGGGGGAGTGTCATTGTTTTGAGGGTGATGATGTGGCTGGTTTTGTTGGTCTTTTCGTAGACTGATAGCCTAGCGCTGACTGTTTCTTTTGGCTGACCTAAATCGGTGGCCCATTCGTCTACACGCCTCCAAAGTGAGCATGACCCATTCTAGCCAATGGGGAAAAAACAAAACTAAAAAAAAAAAAACAAAAAAAACCCCACCTTTGATTGTTTATTGCTGTTGTCATTAGTTTAACTCTAGGTATTTGTTGATATCACAGATGCTGGGAGCTCAGTGCCGGCGCTATCAAATGGATTTACCAAGCACCGATATTAGCAGCCATTGGGGTAGGTTTTATACATGCGATGTAGCGTAAATAGTTTATTGGTTGTCTGATTTTTTTTTTTAAACTCTCTGGCTTTGCTGTAAACGACACAGGTTCTGAAGTGAGAGTGGGGATGGGGAGGGTGGAATGAGGAGCAAGTTACCTTAGTCTCTCAACTAACTCTTGGGATCGATCAGAAAAAGTGACTCAAGAAATGAAGTTGATCAAGGTGAAGCTTTCCCTAGTGATGGATGAATGAAGAGTCAGCAGTTAGACTCTGTTCAGATAAATGCTCCAAATTTCAGATCCTTTTCCTAATTATTGAAATCTCTTGAGTCTATAAAATTGGCTGGAACTTGCCCGAAAACAGATGTTCTCATGGAATTTCCAGTGCTTCCTGTCCAGGCCAGGAATAACATAAGAACAGCCTTTGCGTCAGGATTTAATCACTTTCTTTATTGGTCCCATCCAGAAGTGTAAAAACGGGTGACAATGAAAAGCAATTTAAAAATAAAGTTAATCCAACTTTTGGTTTTTGAACCTCAAGGGGAAAGTTTAGGGCAAAAGCTGTAATGGCTTCTTTTTTTAAAATTCCAGACTGAGAACACTTTGTTTATGATAGCTGATAAAAATGATCATATTCAAGTGTAGGCCAAGGGTTCCCTTTTCAAAATCACGTGAGTTCCATTTTCAAAAGTATATGGGAAACGAAAGATCTTCTTTGCAGTTTCAATCCCCATGCCCATATTCTCATCTTGAATTTTAGCCCTGTAACATTTTATGCTAAAGGGAATGGCTGAAAAGCACAGAGTAGGGCAAGGAAGATAGGAAAGTGATGTGTGACTCCAGGAGCCGAATCATGCGGCTCTTCCATGTGCGAAACCCTCATTGAAACTACTGGGAGTTTGATATGAAGGTAGATTCTTCAGAGGGGATAATGCTAATGAGTCCATACTTTTGCTTTTAGAATTATAGTGCTTGTATCCACAATGGCCCAAGTCCTGGGCAGCATTGCACAACCCAAGTACTGCACTGGGTACTATCTTTGTTACCGTAACTTGGCACACAAATAATAAACATAATAATAATACGGCAGCTGGACCTGCCAAGTTTCATGCATCTCATGATTAATCTCATGTCTGTATTTATGTAAAATCAGTACGTCATAAATCTCATTCATGCTCTGTGTATGGCCCAATTTTTGACACACATGAAAATACCTGATGATTATAACTGGAACAATTTATTCAAATACAGAATTAAAAAGACTGGCATTTGCCAATGCATAGGGAAACCAAGAATTGTGTCTCCATTATCCTACTAATTAATCTGGCCCATAAAATAAATATTATATTTAAACAGAATGTAGCTGTACACTCCCCTGGCATAACTTAAAAATAATTTAAAAATATTCCCCAAAATAGCTAAAGCACAGCAGGGCGATCCAATATAACCCACCATCAGCAACCCCAGCATATTAAAAGCATAAATACCCTTTCCCCACCAAAGCTTAACTTTGCAGCATGCCGTGAGGATCAGTAGTAGAGCTGGTTGGACAATTTTTGGTGTGGGGGGGGAGACGGGGGCGAGGGCAGTGTCAAAAATGGCCTTTTTAGGAAATTGACAAATTTCTTGACCTTTTTTTCTCCCAAACGGTCCTGGTGTTTTGAACAAACATAGAAAACAAAAATATTGGGGGGGGGTATTTAAGTTTTTGAGATTTGATTTATCATTCTTCCTGTTGGCAACATGGGAAGGGCGGGGGGGGGGGGGCGGAGAAAGGAAAAATAAAAAAAGTCCCAAATGAAAACTTTTCTATAAAAATGTTAAAGAAAAAATTTGGAATAACCCAATAATTGTTCCTTTTCTAAACCAGCAGAACAAATAACACTGTGCTATTTTCATGACATGGTTCTCACTTTCTGATCATGTCAACTGATCAGATTTGGTCTGTTTCAGACCACTGAGTTGGGATTGAATTCCAAAGCCATGAGGCCAGAGAACACTCAGCCAATTGCCCTTTCTTATTTATACCAGCGTAGCTTTCACTGCAGCACCTCTGCTGAGCTCATCTGTACACTGTGCAGAGCCTGATGTGACACCTTAAAAACACATAAAAATGGGATTTTTTTTAAAGGGCTGCTGCATACTGAATTTTCATCATGCATCAACCTAACCTGTCAAAGGTGCTTCTGTAACCAGGACACATGCATCCTTACACAGTTAATTTTGTTTGCTTCAGGAGAAGCAGAAAAAAAAAATCTTTGGAGAGCGTTTTCTTCTTCTGTTATATTTACATTTATATCCTCCTTTGTTTCTAGACACACTTAATTTCTGCTGCCTCGGCCTCATAAAAATTCACTAGTAATGGCTGTAGCTCTTGCCAGAGTCTCTTGTCTTAGGAGCGGTGTTGTAATAAATGATCAAATTTGTCCAGACATTAAAATCTACTTTTCAGACTCATCTCTGATTTAAGGCTTTTAGATGGCTCATTGAAATGTGCTTAACTCAGAGTCTAGGTATTAGACATGGCCCCTAGTTATTAGCCGCTTCTGCACTTGACACCAAGCTTTTTTATTATAATCAAAATGACACTTTGGTGAGTTTCCAGAGCTATCACTCTTACTGGGCTCAAAACACATTTGTAGTAAATGAAGTGTTATGACAGGTTGGAACAGGAGATCTGGATTCCAAGCCAGCTTGCTTCCCAAATGAAAATGAGCATGGCAGTTTCAACTTGATTGCCAGCATCACAAAACTGTGGGACTGAGACCTCAGGAGAGTGGACGAGGTTTGAAAGGTGAGGACTAGCTGCACTGAGAGAATTGTCTGGGGAATGGTATATGCTGGTCCTGCATTTAGCAAGCTACTCTCATGCCAAACTAGCAGTGAAACTGTGGGGACCCAGACCCCACTACCAACCCAGGATTCCAGGCAGCTTGTACAGCCAATGGAAGGGTCTATGCCACCACATCTTCACTGCGGGTTTTTAGATCCGCTAGCTAGATTAAAGCTAGCATAGGCATGCCTACCTGCACTGTGTAGTGTAGACATACTCTCAGTATTTGTAAAGGACCTAGCACAATGGGGTGCCAGTCTCAATTGGGGCCACTAAGCACTACTGTAATACATAGAAATAACAACATTACTGGTGCCCCCATCCTATTTTACGGAACAAATTTTATTATCAAACACTCCGATCGCAAGCTAGCTGTTTCTTTTGTCTCTAGAACAGAACACGGGGTTTTTCTTCAAGCCCAAGAGTGACAGTTTGCACTGCTGTTTGCTCTCTGAGTACAAAAGCCACCCAGTTCTATGACCGGACATTATATCTGATGCACTGGTTTGTTTTCAAATGAACCTGGAAATATTTCAGGAAAGCCAAGTAACAAACAAACCAGCATAAAAACGGGCTGAGAGAAATGAAAACAAATTGAGACAAAGCACATCCTTTTTAAAGGCACACACCCAGGAAACCAAAAAGAGTAACATCAAAATGAAAGGTTTCAAAAAAACGACGAAGTCACCTTTCTTTGGTTAGTGAAGATTTTGGGGCTGTTTGTGGGCTAACTTACATAGGTGTAAAAGAGGAGTAACTCCACTAAGACAATGGAACCTGATTTGTGTTTACACTGTGGCCCCTCTTCCTCTCTTTGGCAACGTGAAGTGGATGTAAATTCTCCTTTACATTAATATAATGGTGTAAAAGGGTCTTAAGTGTAAAGGAGAGCCATGCCCAATGATATACAGCCGCACAGAACTTGTGTAAATGAGATTGGAATCAGGTCAGTTAGTCACAGATTTTTAGGGATCATTCTGATGATTTAATCTGACCACCTGCAATCACAGGCCATCGAATGTCAAAGAATTAATTCCTGCTTCACGTCCAATAGCTCTGCTTGCACTATCTGCTAGAAAAACATGAAATCTTAATTTGAAAAATTCTGTTGCCGGAGGATGCGTCACATCCCTTGGTATCTTTATGAGCAGTGGCACGAGAGGCCCCTGCGTACTGTTCTAACTATGTGCTATTTAGAATTGCTGTAGAAATAAGGAATTGCCAGAAAACAGTGACATAGGTGCTCTCTGTCAGTATACTCCACTTCGGTGCCGTATTTTGAGTGCAGTCAATCCATTCTTTTGGTGTCAATTGGGACCTTTCACTATGTTTCAAGGTGAAAGTGGCAGTAATTTGTGTAATGGAAATGGCCATGCTTAATGCAGGGAGAGCGTCCTTTCTTCAAGCCCTGTTTTTACAGCCTCAGTAATATGTGAATGAACTGTCTGTGTTCATATATGATGCTGTCCAGTTCTTGACCTGATTCTTCTCTCATGCCACTGGTCTCGTGCCAACAATTTCAATGGAATTACTTCTGATTTAAACAGCAGGAGAATCAGGCTCAGGCCCTGTGTGAATTGATGTCCTAAACTTAGCCTCTGAGGACCTATAGGAACAAGGAATTCAAAAGCCTTTCACCAAGACCAGTTTGCCTCCAGATCCCAGATGTTCTGCCCTTATTTCAGAGGTCACAGTGGCAATAAAGGCCTGGTCCAAAGCCGCTGAAGTGAATGGGAAAATGCTCCAATTGACTAGATGGGCTTTGGGGAGAAGGGGTCTGACAGGTAGCTCAGATTTGAAAGTTTCCTAACAAATTTCTGTTTGATTCATGTGGATGAAAGTTCTCCTTAAGGGACCCCAAACCTTTTTCACTGCAACTGTTTCCACTGGCAATATGCTGTTGTGACAGCGTGGGATTCCAGTTAGTGATACAAAAGACCCATTATACTCTCAGTTTCATCCTTTTGGCAGCATAGCGTATGATCCCCTGGCAGCGTACTCACTAGATTTTCAACTGACACTATGAGACCATTTGATTGTTTGTTTGTTCACAATCAGCATCCAATTCTGCAGGAGGGCTTAGCTGATGCAATAATAGGCACTTTGGTGCATGGAATAGAAAATGCTTTCTATGCCTAATAAAGGCAGCAGGTGTATTCAGGATTTCTAAATTACACCACAGAAGTCTTGCCAAAGCTGCACTTGAAAGGGGTGGTTTGCAAATGAAAGCCCTGCGTGTACACAAGTAACACTGGCAGTAGGTACAAGGGAAACAATGCAAAATAAACTGTGATAACAGGGCTATCTGTGATGCATAAAAAAATTACACTGCTGTGAAGACTAGGGCTTACTATGCCCAGCGCTCAAGCAATGCCGAAAAGATCTCCGCCAGTTCAGCGGAACCTGTTTTAAGGTGCAATATCTCCCAAACCCCCGGGGCTGGAAAGAAATGCCATATAGCTTTGGGAAGCTGGGATTTGTCCAATTTCACAGAGCTGGTACTGCCAACTCCAGTAATCCTGGCCAGATTGAGGACATCAGCCCTTAAAAACAATAAAAAAAAAAAACCCACACTTTATACCGAGCTGACTTTTGTTTCTACTCAAATCCTGATGTGGTTTGAGCTGCTGCTATATTGAGCACAGCTGGAGTTAGGCCCAGAGTCACCGAACTGGCTGAACTGTGCTCAGGGGAAGTGCACAGGTTGGTGATGGACTAAGGTGATATTAAGCCATCTTTGCAACTCCCTGATCATGTGGTCAATGGGCATTGGTCCTTGTCCCCAGCATGACTTAAACCTGGTGCCTGTGGCCCCAAAAGACCATCATAGCCACAGTCCCTTTTGCCAGGCTATCCCCCCTACACTAAATCAAAGAAGGGTTGACATAGGAGTGTTTATATCATCTCTCTGCCACCCAAGGATTCCTCCCTCCCCTGACCCAGGTAGCCAGTCCACTTTGCACCTCTGGAGTAGCCTCCAGGCCAATGAATCTGGCCCTAAAGCTTTTAGTAATGGAAAGCATGGGATCCCATAATTAACACCTCATCAATATCTAACTTAACCCGTGTCAGAACTGAAGTGGTTTAATTTGGCATGGTTGACTTCAATGGAGCTGAAAATCTGGCCCATCCATGATAACCAAGTGATGTGATATCTCACAGCTAGCCAGGGCTAGGAACTTCAAAACCAGTAACTTTTCCAAGCAATGTCCTGGACCAGTGATCAGAAAGATATATTTTATCCTTTCTGCAGTTTTCCTATGTGGCAAAATGTTCTTCATTGTTTTTGTGCCTATGCTCCTGATTACATTCTTTTCAACCAACCTTCAAACCCCCTGTAATACCGCTCTGCATTTTACAGCTGAACTTCATTCTGTTCCTGAACACCGTACGGGTTCTGGCAACCAAAATATGGGAGACAAATGCTGTTGGGTATGACACAAGGAAACAATACAGGTAAATCCCTGGGCTGGATTTTGTTTAACAGCATAGTCAAGATTTTTCTGGCTAAAAGAGATGCTTTAAACGGTATGAATCACCTACAAGTCTCAATAAAAGGTGAAGCAGCCTTTGAAGCATAGCTTCTGAGAAATTTCGGGGTTGATGGATTGTTTTGCTACATTCATCTGAAATATCCTGGTTTTGTAAATTCATCTTCCAGACTGTGTGGGCATGCAAGTTCAGCTTTCCTGTGGGCATTTCTGAAAAATATTCATTCATTTATTCTAGGGCTGTCAAGCGATTAATTGCACTGTTAAACAATAATAGAATCCCATTTATTTAAAATATTTTTGGATGTTTTCTACATTTTCAAATATATTGATTTCAATTACAACACAGAGTACAAAGTGTACAGTGCTCACTTTATAGTTATATTTGATTACAAATACTTGCACTGTAAAAAACAAAAGAAATAGTATAATTCACCTAATACAAATACTGTAGTGCAATCTCTTAATAACGAAAGTTGAACTTACAAATGTAGAATTATGTACAAAAAAATAACTGCATTCAAAAATAAAACAAATGTAAAACTTTAGAACCTACAAGTCCACTCAGTTCTACTTCAGCCAATTGCTCAGACAAACAAGTTTGGTGACAATTTGCAGGAGATAATGCTGCCCACGTCTTGTTTACAATGTCACCTGAAAGTGAGAACAAGCGTTCGCATGGCACTGTTGTAACTGGCTGTGATGGGTTCGGTCACAGGGATCCCCTTTGGGACTGTCACCTGATGTGCTGGAATCACCTCTGAGCCCGTTTTCCCTGCACTACACTATTGTATGAGGTGAATTGAAAAATACTCTTGTTTATCATTTTTACAGTGCAAATATTTGTAATCAAAAATATAAAGTGAGCACTGTACACTTTGTATTCTGGGTTGTAATGGAAATCAATACATTTGAAAATGTAGAAAAACATCCAAAAATATTTAATGCATTTCAATTGGTATTCTATTGTTTAATCGTGCAATCACGATTAATTTTTTTAATTGCAGTTAATTTTTTTGAGTTAATCGCGTGAGTTAACTGCGATTAATCGACAGCCCTAATTTATTCATTAATCTAGATCTATCCAGCAGAGGCTACAACCCTAGCACACCTAACCATAATGAAATATCATTAAAAAAAAAAATCACACACACACACAAATGCTTACAGAACTCTTATAGAGGGGTACTCTCAAAAATCCCCTCTAACTCTTATAACCACCACCACCACTTGGGACCCAAGTCAACCCATTGATCTACCAAACTCCTGAGAAAACAGATGGGTCTTGCAGGTTAACAATTCTGGGGGTGGCGAATCAAGGAGAGGGAGTGCATTCCAAACTGAGCACCCAACTTGGAGAATGTCCTGCCAGCAGATGTATACCTTTAACTCAAGCAAGGTCCAGCTTCTCTTCAAGGTGAAAGGTGGTGTCTCAGTTAACCAGCTCCCAAACCAATGAAGGACTGTCACACTGTTTGGAGTGGTTCACAACTGTGAGTGTCAATCTCAGGGCAGACTGTCAAAAATTAGATTTCACCAACCCAGTAACAAATGTGAATTCCTGAAGCACCATACCAGTCTTACCATGGAGTCACAGACAGTCCCCTCAGGCATTCCACGCTATCTTGCCAGCCAGGCAAGCTGGACTCAGTGATAGTTGGCTGCCACATAAAACCAAAGACCACAAAAGATTCAGGTTGCTTCCAGTCCCCACAGACCAGTCACTTATCCTAGGTCAATTTGTACCTAGATCTCACACCACAGACAACACTTGTAGCCAATCCTGTAATAAACTAACTAAGGATTTGTTAACTAAGAAAAGGAATGAGAGAATTATTTACAGGTAAAGCATATATATGCCAATGAGTTACAGTTTATGGTTCCAAAAGGTGACAGAGTTGTAGAAATCCGTCAGCACTGAATGTCTTATAGGGCTAACCCAGCTTGACCCTAGAGATCTCTGCTTCTGTTTCATGGCTCCTGCAAAAGTCCAAACAGCAAAAGAAATGCAAATTTTAATATAATTAAAGCTCCAGCTGGAACCAAATAGGCAGTCAGTTCAGACTCTGGAGCACTGGTGTAATGTATTCTCTCCACGGCGCTCTGCTTAACAAGTGGTTGGCCACATACTGCACTAGCTTCAGTTTCCAGTTGATTGCTGTGTGTAGCCTCCTGTAGAGTGAATTACAATAAACTATTCCTAAGGTGACAAAAGCGTAGATGAATGTGCAAAGGCCTGCATGAGAAAAGAAAGATTACACCACCTGCCAATGGGAAAAACACTCGTGGCTGTCACACTTACCCGAGCAGCGGGCTCGGTAGTGGCACACTGAAGTTGCAAAGCTGTATTGAAAGGGCGGTCCTAACCAGGGGAGCACCTCTGCCATTTTCTGGAACAGTTTGAAACTGATCCCTTCAGGTGTGTCCTGGGGTGCAAAAGTAGACAGGGTGCGATGGGGAGGTTGTGAGCCCATGCTCCCAGCCTCCACCACACTGAGCAGTGGAGCTAGCCAGCCGTGCAAGGGATGTAGCAGCAGGCACACTTCCACTGGACCTCTTGGAGCTCCAATGCTTCACAGATCTCTCACTGAGGTGTTGCAGCTACAAGCCACACCCTATTGGAGGGTTTTTGCTGCAAGCCACAGTAGAGCCCTTAATTTGTAGGGTTTACTTGGAAATGCCCATTTCCTTTTTAACTGAACCTTCCCTAGGCTCTTGAGCTTTTCAGCATTTCACACAAGAAAAGAGAGCTTTTGCTTTTTCAAGATGAAGTGTAAAAGCTCTCACGGGTCCAATGTAATAGAAAAGTACTTGTGTACCACAGTGCTAATTCACGTAGTAAGTACCTGCTGAGGGAGTGACGGCTGCAGTACAAATCACCCTTGTTGGGGTACATTTTGGGGACACAATCAAGTGGGACTCTATGTTTTATGCTGGATTGAGGAAATGTAATTATCCCACATTGCCACTGGGACTTTTTATGCTGGAAAATGATTAGCTAAAAACAAAATAGGAAGTCATTACTCTGTAGGAGGTTGAAAAGTCAACAAATTTATGTTAGATGTAATCTTAATGAGTCTACATGATCTCCTCACTGCAATCCACTCTCATTCTTGTATTTTTTTGTAACTCTCTTACAGGAAGTTAGCAAAGTCCACCTTGGTTCTGATTCTGGTCTTCGGGGTGCATTATATTGTCTTTGTGTGCCTACCGCACACTTTCACCGGGCTAGGATGGCAGATCCGAATGCACTGTGAGCTCTTCTTCAACTCTTTCCAGGTGCGAGATATATTATCCGTTTTGTTCTCTGTCCTTCTCATCCCTTACCCCTTCTCTCTGGTTTTCTGCAGACCCTTGACACTATGTAACAGTGTAATTCTGACCCCAAAGGCAAATCACATTTTTACAGAGCTCTGACAAGGTTGGTCATTGAGTTCCTAAACCTAGGAGCAGCTGGGGGCTCATTCCACACTAGAGAAAACACAACAGTACTCCTGCTCCTGTGTGCTATTTACCATGGAAGGGTTGTGATGACTATATCTGGAGTGTGTTTTCTCTGCTGGCGTATTATTAGCTTTTGTGATAAAATAGATGTCTTTTTGTTTCCTAGTTAGGAAAGTTCTGCTTCAAGGATGAAGATTTCGAGTTTAATTTACTTTTCTACTATATGCATTCAGTTACTATGACAACTGGGTGTAAATAACCACAAGATTATGTAGGTTCAAGAAATAACAGTGAAAGCAGACATTGCAGACACGAATCTGAAGATAGAGAGCAGAGCTGATTGGTTGGAATAATTTTCCAACACAAAATGCCATTTTCACAAAAATCAAAATTTTCTGTAGGAAAATATCAATTTTGCAAAAAAAAAAAAAATATTTTCTCTCAGGAAAACTGAAGTGATGGTTTTCCAGCTGCCCTGTGCAAAGGTCTTGTTAATTTCACTTTCTGACTCTTGTCAGTTTCACATTCTCTCTGCAGGCAGGATTCTGGCCAGTGGAAACATTCCATTTTAGTTCTCCTGAAAGGGAATTTTTCTGGAAGTTTCTTCTCACAAAACATTTCACATTTTTTTACTTTCTGTCCTCATTTGGCACCAATTTTTTCCCCCCAGGAATGTGAAATATTTCATGGGAAGGGATTTCCATTTTCCAGCCAGTTGTACTAGAGAGAGTATCTAGCTTCCATCTCCTTGTCTTCTTTCTCCAGGGATTGTGATAACAGATAAAACTCTGCTGGGTGTAGCTAAAATAACATGGAAAGAACTTGGAAGACTTTGAGAAATGATAAACTTCATTAATATGTTTAACATAAGTTAGACATGCTAAAATTTAGCTGGAAGGAGACTTACATTTGACATGCTTCTTCACATGGCAATTATCCCTTAATAATTTATGCTTCCTTATCCTTCAGGGTTTCTTCGTCTCCATCATCTATTGTTACTGCAATGGAGAGGTAAGTTGAAAGCCCGGATTGGATGAGGCTCCTAACCAAAAATCACTGCATGACAGAAAGGGATATTTTGTACAGAATGTAATAAGAGGGTAGTTGCGAGTTAGCAGTTTGTCCCTACAGCTACTGAGCAACTCTTAAAGGGATAGGGTCAGGCAGTTGGTTCCCTAAATTGTTATGAATTATAAAATAAACAAAATGGAAACAATTTTTGTCTAGATTTGAACAGGCCCCTGTATTATTTGCACCTTGGTCAGAAACTGACTAGTAATATTCATTGTACCAACGGAGTGAAATGACATGCACGATGAAATGTAAATGCAATGTTTAAAAAGGTCTTTCAGTCAAGGTGACATTAGTGACACAGGGCCAGATTCTGATGCTCTTACTTCAGCAACACTTTACTCTAATGGTCCCTTCTGGCTTTATCATCTGAATCTATGATTACAGTAGGACTGGAGAAAGGAACTGTACAACTTGAGAAAGTTAATTAGAATCTGGCTGATAGGTGATGACATTTGATTGGGCATTTGGGATTTTTCTTAAGGGTTAATATGTGATTTTTTAACCTGATTTTACACAGCTGGAGGGGCTTCATATCATGTGAATTTTCAAGATTGTGCTTTAAAGGGAAGATGGTTAAAGGTTTCCTTTAGCTTTTGACTCCTTCCCCTTACAATTTATGCCTTAGATCTGTTGATTGATTTTGTTTTTCCCTCTGGTAGGTTCAGACTGAAATCAAGAAGACTTGGACTAGATGGAACCTGGCTATTGACTGGAAAAGGACGACTCCATGTGGCAATTACAGATATGGCTCCGTCCTAACCAACATGACCCACAGCACCAGCAGCCAGTCTCAGATGGTGGCCAGCTCTCGCATGGTTCTGATTTCCAGCAAAGTCTGCAGAAATGCCAGTAGGCAAAATGAGGCACACATGAATTTGCCTGGGTACGTTAGGAGCAACACTGAACAGGACTGTGTGCACCACTGGGTTCGTGAAGAGGCCAATGAAAATGAAGAGGAGCAGGTGGATGATATATCGCTCAAGGAATCACTTAGACCGCGGGGTAGTAGCACAGACCCTGAGCGGAACAGGGTAGAAATGGAGGAGGCTCTGTGAACAGTCATGGACATCCATGGGGATGTCCAATATAAAACGAGTTGAATCCTCTTATGATGCCAACAGCTACTAGTATCTGTATACTGCCTTGAGCCAATCTCGGTGAAGATCTTGGTCAATGATGAAGCTCAATTTACAAGGACTCCAGACCTACATAATGCTGCTGACTACGCAAAATGGTTTCTATGCCACTGTCAAGGTTCCCTCCCCACTCTGAACTCTAGGGTACAGATGTGGGGATCTGCATGAAAGACCCCGTAAGCTTATTTTTATCAGCTTAGGTTAAAAACTTCCCCAAGGTACAAACTTTGCCTTGTCCTTGAACCCTATGCTGCCACCACCAAACGTGTTAAACAAAGAACAGGAAAAGAGACCACTTGGAGATGTCTTCCCCCAAAATATCCCCCCAAGCCCTACACCCCCTTTCCTGGGGAAGGCTTAATAAAAATCCTCACCAATTTGTACAGGTCAACACAAACCCAAACCCTTGGATCTTAAGAACAATGAAAAAGCAATCAGGTTCTTAAAAGAAGAATTTAATTAAAGAAAAGGTAAAAGAATCACCTCTGTAAAATCAGGATGGTAAATACCTTATAGGGTAATCAGATTCAAAACATAGAGAATCCCTCTAGGCAAAACCTTAAGTTACAAAAAGAAACAAAAACAGGAATATACATTCCACCCAGCACAGCTTATTTTACCAGCCATTAAACAAAAGGAAATCTAATGCATTTCTAGCTAGATTACTAACTAACAGAAGTTCTGAGACTGCGTTCCTGATCTGTTCCTGGCAAAAGCATCACACAGACAGACCCTTTGTTTCCCTGCTCCAGCTTTGAAAGTATCTTGTCTCCCCATTGGTCATTTTGGTCAGGTGCCAGCGAGGTTATCTTAGCTTCTTAACCCTTTACAGATGAAAGGGTTTTGCCTCTGGTCAGGAGGGATTTTATAGTACTATATAAAGAAAGGTGGTTACCCTTCCCTTTATTTTTATGACAGCCACAAATGGCAAAGGCACAAAAAAGTGAATTTTTAGCCAGAGGCTTTATACACGATAAAACATTCTGTTGAGACACAGCCATTCTTTATATGCTTACACTACCTGCATTACACTTAAAACTCTGCACAGCAAACACATCTTAACTGGTTTATGCAAATGCTCTTCTGAAGGCATGTGAAAGGTGACTCCTCCATTTGTACACCTGAAAGGTGGAAATCAGAAGGTTTACAGTATATGCATGTGAAGGGATTCTCTGGACTCCAAAATGTCTTCGCTGTGAATCACAGGGCTGGGAAAAACTTAAGGGTTTCCATCCAGTACCTTGTGAACTTTGATCTCAAAGCGGAATGTTTCAAATCATGTTTTTAAACTGAGATGCTACTTACGTTTGATTATTTATACTATTGCTTTAGTTTGTTTTATGGAAACATCCAAACCAAAACCTCATGTACTATGCGACCTAAATTCTCTAATGAGACAGCCCCTACTGCATGCACTGAGCTCTGCAGTGATTTGGGAATTAAGTGGCAATACTAACTGAATATGAAATCATTTGAAAACCTTCCGGGTAACTGAAATAATGCTAAAAAGAGCACCAGAAAATTTAAATATAATTAGTGCCCTGTAGTGGAGGAATGTCTCCTGCTGTATGTCGATCTCTGAAAGACTTTGATGTTGGACAGCGAATGGGTTTGTGCCCTCTGAATCTCCATTAAACATCAAAAGAAGCCGTGATTGGATGAATAGAGACCTGAACTACTTCAGCCAGCTTCAGTACTGTGTCAAAAGCACTTTTATTAAACACGTCAAGATCTTTGCCAGATACTTACTTCCTGTTGGCCAACTTTGGTCCAAAGATCCTTATGCGGAGATCAAATTCTTCTGCTGGCACACAATCCCACTCCATTCTTCCATGGATTTCCAAGCAGTGGAGTTCTGCTACAGGGGGGATCGGATACACAGTCTGGCAGCTGCCTACACCACGTCTCTCCACAGCCCCTCTAAGTGCACCCCTCTGACATGCTTCTGCTGTCCAGGCAATTTTTCATTGCTTCCCCTCATGCGGAGCTGCTATGTAAAGTGGAGAAGACGCAGTTGAGCTCAGATGTGGTAATGGACATGGTATAACAATCGGACAGAACAGTTAAGGAGCTGCTGCTTGCCTCGCCATGTTGGCCTAGGTAGGGGGAACTCATGAGAGAGCCCCTAAATGGAAATGCAATGGCTCCCATCGTGGTAGGCTAGTGCTGCCGTCCGTGCCACAGTCTTGACTCTTAGAAAGATTTCACTCTTTCTGCCTTCTGCTCGGCCATAACAAGGGCAACGGCAGAGGGGGAAGCCCAGGAAATGCACTGAATTCCTCCCTTGTGAGAAAAACTCACACCATGGCCCAGGGGTGAAGATGGCAGCAAAAAGGCCATTTTTGTGGTGCTGCTGTGTAAGCTGGACCGCTTGGGGTGGGGTGGAAGGTGCAGTATGCTGCCATTCACATCCCCACATGTCTACATGAGGCGGGGGGGAGGGAGGGCTTCCATCCTAACTATTGAGAAGTACCAGAGTGTGCTGTAAAACACGGAAATGTTTTTTAAATGACTGAATTTGGGGGAAATGGGTGAAAATAGTTTAAATTTCATCTGAGTGTCAATTGAGCCGAAAAGACTGAGATAACTAACGAAGCAATGATCTGTTTGGAGTAGATTTGAAATTTACCAGGAACGGCAGCGCATTTCTCCCTACAAGGCATGAAAAGAAGAACAGGCCAGGGCGATGCCAAGTCCGCTGTCTGGGAACTGCATGATTTCCCACAAAAAGTCCCAGATCCCACAGCAACTTGGTTTATCCCAATTGGATTTGGCATGGGCTAAGCTCGGTCATGTCTGAATGAAACATCAGAGGGCTGATGCTGTGAAGTGCTAACTGATGTTAGATGTCCATTGTGCTGTTTCGGTTGCTGTTGTTTCATGATTTTGTTGGGTAACTATTGTTCAGTGGCACATGAGAAACATTAAAAAACACCCTCCTTTTTTCAGCTTTTCAGTTGTGCTTAAAGCTTTGGCCTGGCACTTGTGCTTCTCGTTTATTTCTGCTTCTGTGGCCTATCAAATCTCTCTCAGAGACGCTTCTTCATTACAGTGATCCTTTTCCTACCCAGGTATTCTCTGTGATTAAAAGCTCAGATTTCCCTCATTGAGCCTATGAACTAGCCGGTAAACCTTATAGACAGGGGAATAGACAAGATGGCAATTAGTGAGAGTTAGGTGCACGAGTTCCTTTGACGATCTGGGCCTCTGTCTCTACTAATCTGGGTCAGATCTAGAGCAGCAAGAAATTGAAACAGAGCTACAGTCAATAGCCCAGAAAATAAGACAAACGTTCTGTCAAACCAATGAGCAAAGGTAAACAGTCCAGAAGAGAAAACTAGTGGGGGAAAAACCCATCAAAATGGTCAAAGATGACATGAATGTAATAGAATGGATTTACATTGCACTTCAGCACCAGCCCCTAACTGGCCAGCATTTCGACTTTGCTTATATTATAGAGGTTTATTAAAGAAGCTTATGGGTCAGCCTCATTTTCTCAACTGTGTAGATGCTGAAAAATTTTCATAACTCTTCCCTCTCCCCACCTGGCACTGACTCCAGCCCCTCTGCAGCCTTTCCTTCTGCAAAACTGGTTGCCCAAGCTCATACCTTCACACTTCATCTGAATCCAAGTCTGGATACTGGTTCAGCAACTATTTCTGCTGGAAGAGCTGTCTGCTGCCTTGGAGTAATAATATTTTCTCTTCCCGATGCACAGGAGTGACATTTTACAAATCAATCCCTGGATGCAGCTGTCTGAGGAAAGGGTCCTCCTGTCATCTTCCTTGCTTTATCACGGTGTCTCCAAAAGAGTGTTCTTTCTTTATAGTTTTAAAAAGCAAGTGCATGGCCAGTGAGAGAGCTCAGATTGATAGCACCAGCAACATGAACACCTCCTGATTTATGGCACTGCCAATGCAACTGCAAACATCCTCTTTACTATCCAGTCAGGTTGCCTCCTACCTCACCGGGGCTGATCACATCTAGTGACAGCGAGGTAGTGCTCGTTACTTTCTGCTCAGTGCATCAGGCCAGATTCTCCAATCTACCAGGGAAAGAAGCGGGTGGAGCAGAGCAGAGCTCAGTTATGCCTAATGGAGTAGGATCCCTGTACAACCCTGTAGCAAGACAATGACTTACCGGCACGGCACCTCCTGCTGGTCATCTGGGTAATAGCTCTTTCCAGCCTCGGAGCACCTCCTTCTGGCCGGTGTCTCGCCTGCCTCAGGCCCCATGTCCCTTCCGGACCCCAGTGCCCTTTTCCCTTGAGGTTCTGCCCACTGCAGTACCCGCAGTCTCTGCGTCTCCCCTCCCAGGGGAACCCCAAACCCTCTAAACCCACCTTGCCTCAGTGGCTACTGACAGTCATCATCTAGCCCCCCGCTCACTGGGGCAGACTGAAGTCTGTAATGGGCACTCATCACTGGCAAGGAGGATGGGAACTGCTGCCTTTGCCTATCCCTGGGCTACACCTCTATAGCCCCAGTACCTTCATGGGGTTTTACGAGGCTGAGCTCCCCAGCTCCCTTTGCCCTTTCCCAGCACTGCTCCACTTCAGGTACCTTGCTCCCAGGCAGCTAGCCCTTCTCACTCCAGGGCTAGAGTGAGACTCCTTCAGCTCCTGGCCCGCAGCCCTCTTATAAGGGCCAGCTGGGCCTGGATTGAGCTGTCCACAGCTGTGGCTGCTTCCCCAGTCAGCCTAGCTTTTCCCAGCCCCTGCCCTCTTCAGGGCTGCTTTTAACCCCTGCCTATCGGAGTGGGGCAGGCGCCCTACTACGAACCCCTCAAACCATTTCCACAGCTCAGGCTGAGTGGAGAATCAAGCCATTAATGTTCTTCTCTGTCATCATATTTAAAGGATCCATTGTAATGAGGGTATTAATGTGTTCCCGCAGACAATTGTAATACTCCGAAATACTTGGAATGGTTTTGGTGTGGGAGCAGGGAACACTTAAGAGAATGCTGCTTTGACGAACAACGTGACCGTCAGAGGACTTCTTTCCTTGAAAAGGTGTGCATGCACTCCCTGCTGAACAGACTTGCATTTTAAAGGGTTTGGTAAGGTCATCTAGCCTGCCTTTGACCCATTGCAACAGCTGGATCTATGAGCCACTCCCTCCTATACTTGTGTCAACATGCCCCTTATGAAGAGCGGAGTCAACCTTTATTATTATTGTTGCCCGGTTAGTTGCTTCTCCAAAATGGAATCCCTAAATTCACGTTGGGCTTTCAATGCCTGTTAGTTCCATACCTAAAGCAGCTAAAAGAGCCAAAGCTTTTAAGATAACACATAGGAAATAAAAATATATAGAAGCGATGGAGGGGGAGTGTCAAAGGTTATGTCTCAAGGTCACCCCCTTGAGGTGAAGGCAGGTACTTTTCTAACCTCATACATCAGTCCGTGGGCAGCAGCAGTCTTGGGGTTGGTACCAGAGGCAGTGTCAGCTCCCACCCTCCCGCACAGTTAAAGGCAAAGACCTAGCCCTGAGAATTTCAACAAATGACACAAGCCAGTCCATCTTTTTTTCCCTTAAAAGGCTCAAGGTGGGAGTGCTGTCAATCTGTTCCTCAGCCAGTAGCCCACAGCCCTGGTCTGGTTCAGAGTGTCACCCCAACCTGAGCAGAGGACCTCGCTGTTAAGGGCCTGCCACCATGCCTCACAGGTGTGGTGAGTTGGGGCTGATTGTGACTCCAAGGGGTCTTTAACCCCTTCTTGACTCGTGGAGGGGGTTCTCTACCCCTCCACAGAGAGATTTTGATAGGCATAAAGAGTAGTTAGAGACCTAACTCCCATTGACTCAGTAAGAGTTGGCAGCCTGTCATTTGTGGCTTTGACAATCTCCCTCATTAACCCTCAAAGGCCTCAGCCAGCCACTAACTAATGAAGACACTTTCTCTGTGGGCCTGTGCCATAATTGTTCTTTAAGGGATTTTTTGCACCTTACTCTAAGGCATCTGGTATTGGGCAGGATACCAGACTAGATGAACCATGCTCTGATTAAGTGTGACAATCCTCTGTGCCTATGTTTTAACCTGTCTCTGAATCATGTGTGTATAGCAAGCATAAACTTTCGGTTACATTCATGCACCTAAGCAAAATGTATTTAACCGGGTTTCACAGCAAGGGAAAGCTTGGACTGACATTGGAACTAAAGACTGGTGCATTTGTCCTAGGCAGAGACTGGCACCCAAGGGAATTGTGATAAACCTCATGAAGAAAGGGTAAAAAATGGATATTGGGGCGTTCAGTTACAGTAAGCTTCATTGGGACAATAGAATTGGCTATACACATAACAAATCCATGAATTTAGTCTTAAGATCCTTAGCTTAGTATGCCTGGGACCATCTTTGAAGTGCTCATGAAGACTTGCGTGAGACAGCAAGATCATTAAAACAAGCAGGCAGAAAGATACAGACTGTGAGAAAGAGACTGATAAGAGCAAGAAAGCTGATTGATGTCAATTATCATGGTGGAACGCTAGTCTTGAAAAAAAGAAGCAATAGCTAAATCCTACCTTCCTCTCTCCTATTTGCCTGAGAAACATCACAGAGGTCAATACAGTGAAGGAGTGAATAAAAGAAGCAAGAAAAGCCATCAAAGCTACGTAACGAACGCAACGGAAATTGTACTAGCGTATTGGAGGAACCAGGAAGATTATTGATTGCTGCAAGTAAAAAAAAAAAAAAAAAAAAAGGCGGGTGGCATAAAGAACGCAGATACCCTCTGAGTACATAGCAATGCTTTAAAATAAGCTATTACTTGCCAAATTACAAATGCACATTACATTTTAGAGAAGTGACTGTCCCATTTCTGACCCCCCCCCCCCCCAAAAAGTAAACTTTTGAGCAGTGCCAGAGTTGAACCTGCGATTAACTTTTCTGAAGGTTCTGAACCATCCACTTAACTTCTTCCCTCCCCCATTGAAGCCAAGTTCTAACAGACATTGGAAAAAACGGTATTAAATACCACCCAGGAGGAGGAGTCTTGTGTTATTCCTGGAGCGGGATTAACAGGAGCAACGATGCTATTTTGCAACAAAGCTTGTCGTCATCAGATTTTCTGTCTAAAACCTCAACATATATTCCTTAGTCAGGCAAAAGTCCGGTTAGCCAATTCTATTAGGTTTGTTATGCTGGCAGACCAGGTGCCAGCTCTTGCCAAGCCTTTAGGCCTCAGCCTAGCACGGCTTTATACCAGCTGAGGAGCTGGTCCATACTGTGTTGAATAAGTGGTGACTTTATCAAAGCAACATTTTCTGAGGTGCTTTGGTGAGCTCCTCATCGAGCTTTTATGATGATGGCAGTTCGCCAAATGTATCTAAACAAACGAAGAGAGCACTGAAGTTTAGAAACATAACAGGACACGTTATGATGGATATTGTTTCTGGGCTCAAGGAGCCTGCTTCAGCTAAAGATTTACCCCCAATGTATGGGAAGCATTGACACCAGCTAGATGATGAAAGTAACGCTATGCCAGCTTGTTATTTACACGTACTTCAGTGGTGCTGCACTGGTTTATACTGGCGGAGGATCCATGGTCGTGAGATGACCATGGTAGTTTTTATTTAAAAGAAATAATTCAGTGAGCCACATCAAAAGAGTATTCTTTTCACGTTCTCTTTGCGACCTGATTTAATTTAATTAGTCTGCACTGTGACCAGCAGCTTTAAATACTCCCTGGCATATTGGCCGTTATGCACACAGGCCACAGCTGACATCCCAGAAAATCCAAAGGGCCAGTTTATTTTTGTCAGACATGGTTGTATTCTGATATAACCGTGACTGAAGCTGTGGGGTTGGGAGAAAGTTTTCCCATCTTTTCAGGCTGCAGTGAGTGACATGGGAACCCACAGAAGATAACTGGAGTCTTTCCATTGACTTCATTGAACATTAGACAATGCAATATGGACCTGATCTAAATAATGCTGAGACAGATGAATCTTACCAG